TACCCTCCCCACTCTCTTTTCTTTTTCTTCCTACTCTCTTTTCTCTTTCCTAGGCATATATTTTCAGTATCAGAAATGTCAGGAACAGTATTATCAAAACAGTGACTTAAATTGTTGACATATATTATCCTACCTGTCTGAGAGTTTGGATATAAATGCACCCTTCATTGGCCTTAGTGTGCAAGATGAGAGGCTGGTAAAGGTTCCGAATTGTTTTTATTTATTTTCGTTCTTGTCTGAAAAACTGGTGCCTTACCCTTTGTGCAGAGAAAATCTACATAGGCACAAACAGAAAACAGAAAATCTAATCTTGCAAGCTGCTGAAATTTGCTATGTGACTGACCCTATTATGGGTGAACTTGCTGAGAATTTGGTTTCTTCCTTTATATGTGGAGTTTTCCTTTATGTAAGTAAGGCTAGAAAGGATTTGGTGAGTTTAGTAAAATAAATATGTAAGATGGGATCAGAACAGGTGTTCATAGTTTCCATTTCTAAATTCCTTCCCCAAATTTTAATAGATTGATACAGTTTACATATTCCCTAATAAGATATTTCTGTACCCATGGCAGTCTTTATCAACCAAAATTTCAGTATACTGTCATAATTGGATCTGATAAAGGGACTTTAGGGAATTGCAGGAAAAAAAAGTATAATTTCACAGCTAATTCTTTTATTCTAGTGAATAGAAGATAAACGAAAACTGTGTTTTATGCCTCATAAGGAGCTCACTTGCTTCCAAACCTCTTTTTCCTTATCTTAAATGTAAATTAAGGGGAATCTTCAAAGTAATTAGTTATTTTCTGTTTCCTGTTTTTCCAGTTTTATAATATTTTCATATATAACCTTGTCTAGCTTAATATATATAGTTTTTAATATGTAACCTTATCTATAGTGACTTGATACTTGTATGTACTGCAGAATGATTACCAAAATAAATTAACATGCATTACCTCACAGTTACAGTTTTTTTTCTTGTGATGAGAACGATATTTGTGTGTACTACAAAATGATTACCAAATAAGTTTAGTTAACACGCATCACCTCACAGTTATAATTTTTTTCCTTTTGATGAGAACTTCTAAGATCTGCTCCCTTAACAACTTTCAAATATACTTTAAACTCTATAGACACCATGCTATGCATTAAATTTCAAAGTTTATACCTTTTGACTGCCTTCACACATTTCTTCTACCCGCTCCCCCACCTCTCACAACCACAAGCCTATTGTCTTTCTGTGAATTCTTTTTTTTTTTTTGATTCTACATATAAGTGAGATCTCATAGTATTTATTTGTCTTTCTCTGACTTTTACACTTAGTTTAATGTCCTCAAGATTCATTCATGTTGCATATGGCAGGATTTCTATCTTTTTTAATCCCATTGTGTGTATACCACATCTTCTTTATCCATTCATCCATCTGTGGACACTTACGTTGTTTCAGTATTTTCTGTTTCTTACGTGGGTACAAAGTGTTTGTTATTCCCTACATATATGAAATAGTTCAGAGTTTTTCTTACATGAGAAATTTCAGGATTCTTTAAGTTGAGGGGGAGGTTAAAAGTATCTTTACCCCCCTTAAGATGTTCATTATTCTTAAATCTTTACCAAGTTCCTTAAAGGAACTTTGAAACACCATTTCACCAAATAATCAACATGGGTACATTCGCACATTGCTGAGAATATAACGGGATTCCTGGGTGAGTCAGTGGTAAAGAGTCCGCCTGCCAGTGCAGGAAATGTGGGTTCAGTCCCTGGGTCGAGATCTCCTCAAGAAGGAAATGGCAACCCAACTCCAATATTCTTGCCTGGGAAATGCCATGGACAGAGGAGCCTGGCGGTCTACAGCCCATGGGGTCACAAAGAGTGGACATGACTTAGTGACTGAGTACATACACAGGAATATAACATAAATTTTAAAGTCTCCCTAACATTTGATTCTATACTTAAACAGGCACAGAAAGCCCTCCAAACAGTCTTTATTTGGCAGTCAAGATAAACTTGCTTTTTATGGAAACCTTGTTTCTGTTAGAGTTGAGAATAAAGGGGGGATTTGCAGCTAAGCTTGGATAGACTTGGCCATGATTGTGCCTGGAGGTACAGTAGGTTTTTAAATACAAGGATAATTATTTTTCTTGGCAGGTATTTCAAACATTATTTGGCTTAAATTAGAATGTCAGAAATATAGGCCCATGAGAAGGAAATCTTCGACTATAAATTACTTTGTAGGTAAATACTATCTAAAATAGAGTATTTTTATTCTTGATGAAGCATTTGTTCTTCAGTTTTTCCATTTTCTAAGATTCTGTCTTTCTAGGAAGATCATAAGTGTTTAACAAGGTATTTGTTATGTTTAGAAGTAGGGAAGACTGAATTAAAAATAGAAAAGCTGTATTTCACTTTCCTGCTTTCTGATGGAGAGTTGTAAAACACCATACCCCTGCATTTTATAATTTCTTACATGGTACTCTCAGACTACTTTTGTTAATTTGACCATGCATGAGAAAACTAAGCTCATACTCCCTCTCGCCCCTCACCCCCACTTTTAACTGCCCAAATAAAGCCAGCAACACTCTCAGAAAGTTCACGTCTCTCAGATGTTCTTTCTGTCTTGATCACATCAGAGCCATGATAGATAATTGGCTGGGTATCCTACTGGACACAGTTGTGTTGTTCAGTGTTTAAAGTATTTTTAGGTGATGAATGTTGATGTGAGCCGAGGCAGTTGACCTGAATAGCAAGTTTGTTGGAGCTTTGCTCCCAGCTCTGCTGAATCAGGCAAGGTCTACTCCAAAGCATGCAGGCCCTTTCCTTTGTCCTTGCCAGAGATACCCATCTATTAAGTTATTTGTGCCACTAGCTGCCTCACACTGAGTAATATTGAGAGTCAACTATAGCATAATCTTTTTAAGATACCAAAGCCTTACAAATTTTAGTTAATATTAACATAGAATGGCAGCTCAGATGGTAAATGAACAATCTCAGTTAACATCTTCTCTGAGATTATACTTCACATGCCATAAAATTTTATCATTTTAAAATGTACAATTCAGTGATTATTAATATATTCAGAGTTGTGTAATTATTACTACTGTCCAACTTCAGAATATTTTTATCACCCCAAAATGGAACACTGTGCCCATTAGCGGTCACTTCCCATTCCTCTCTCTCCTCAGTCACTAGCAACCACTTGCCTTCTTTGGATTTGCCTGTGTTGGACAGTTCATGTGAATGGAATCGTAAAATATGTTGTCTTTTGTGAACAGCCTCTTTCAGTTGCATCTTAATGTTTTCAAGGTTCATCCATGTTATTGCACGTATTAGTACCTCATTCCTTTTTGTCACTGAATAATACCACATTTTGTTTATCCATTTGTCGGCTGATGAGCAATTTTATTAGAAGATGAACAGTTTTTTTCCAGTTTGTTGAGGTATAATTTATGACACATAACTTTGTGTAAGGTATACAATAAGGTGATTTGCTATATGTTTATCTTGCAAAGTGATTGCTACAATAAGTTTAGTTAACATCCATCACTTCACATAGTTAGAGATTTTTCTCTTGTGATGAGAACTTTTAAGATGTACTGTCTTAGCATCTTCAAGTGTATGATACTCTATTGTTAACTGTAGTCACCATGTTATACATTAAATTCTCAGAACTTATAGCTGGAAGTTTGTACCTTTAACCAGCTTCATCCATTTCCCCCACTGAATAGTTTTTAAACTTAATTTCCACCCCCATCCCCAAGGGAATCTAAGGTGTATTTTATTGACTGACTGGTCATGTTTAAACCAGGCTCTACCTGGCCATTATGAACCTGGTAATTAGTCTGCAAGATACCATCTTCCAAAAAGCTTTTAGTGTGTTTTTTTTTTTAAGCATTGAGTATTTAAAATAAATTTTGTTTTGCACATTGCATACAAGCTGCCCCTGCTTTCTATTTATTCATTTTTTTTTTTTTTTTAATTGGAAGATACTTGCTTTACAGTGTTGTGTTGACTTCTGCCGTACAACATCATGAATCAGCAATAAGTATACATTTATCTCCTCCGTCTTGAGTCTTCCTTCCACCCCATACCCCTTCTCACCCCTCTAGGTCATCACGGAGCAGCAGGCTGAGCTCCCTTAACTCTAGGAAGACCTTCTCTGAGTAAGGCATCATGAATACCAAGGAAAAGGGCTTGAGTACCAAACTCTTTTATCTTCAGATAAAAAGAGGCTTTGATTATATTTTTATACCTGCCTTGTTCCTTCCTGGGTGCTTGTGAAGTGCTAAGAGCATACAAGAAATCTGGGCCATCGTTAAGCTCTCACACTGGTATAGCTGTCCGTTTTTAAAATACTTCTCTGGTTGGTCCAAAGCCACTGCTCCAAGCCACCAGTGCCTCTTCTGCCCCATACCTTCCCCAGTATCTCAGCAAATAAAACGGGTTATCCTTGGCAGAGCAGAAGGTCTCCAGGTCAACAGTGGTTAAATGTTAAACATTATGACTTGCCCCAAGAGGAAATGAAGACTCTTTTGTGAACTTAAAAGAGCACTGAATATAAGAGACTTGAGTTCCGGTCACAGCTTTGTCACTAGCTAACCATGTGGTGTTGGTTAAGCTAGTTCTATACCTGTGTGCTTAGTTATAAAATCAGAGGAGTAATATCTACCTGAACTGTTAAATGAGATGATTGTAAGAGATAGTAGAGTTCTGAGGCTCATATATCCCCTCTTGTCTGTGGACTTGTCACTACTTTAGCCTACCTTTTTGTAAGAATATATTTTGAATTATTTTCAGAGTAACTAAATATAGGCATGAATGCCAAAGATTGTATTAAGCTTTGCTATCTGCCTTGTGGAAGAATTGGCTGGAAATAGATTTTTGATCGTTGAGTCATGAGAATTTCTGATTACTTACTCTGTAGTTCTGCTGAAGTTTTTTCCCAAAAAGACACTAAAATCTGATAGAAAGTGTTATGACTAGTGTTTCTATTTTACCCCTCATTATGTTAGGTGTTTATCAGATCAGCAAACAAATCAAAGCTCATGATGGCAGTGTGTTCACACTTTGTCAGATGAGAAATGGGATGTTATTAACTGGAGGCGGGAAAGACAGAAAAATAATTCTGTGGGATCATGATCTGAATCCTGAAAGAGAAATAGAGGTAAGGATGAAAACAGAACATAAACATTTTAAAATGTTAAACCCTCTAAACTCATGTCTTTTGTCCCACATTAAGATAACTTACACTTTTCTGGAAAATTTGTTATACATTCTTGTCATTTCATTCCCTTGAAATAAACCAGGAAAAAAAAGGCTATTCACTAAGCCAAATAATTTGAAAGAATAAGAAAAATGGGCAGAATAATTAACTTGCTTACTTATTTCTGACATTATTTTTTAGTGACCCAAAAATAATCACATAACCATATAAACTTAAAATTTGCCAGACGTTTATCAAATATTCTATTCCATGGTATACAAGATGACCAGCTTAATTTTAAAATTCAGAAATAATCTTTTAAATGATGGGCTTAATAATAATTGCTGATTATATCTCTGTGTATGTCTGCTTCATGGTATAAACGAAGTATGTCCATAAAACCTAACAGGTTTTATGTTTTCAGTGAAAGTTGAATTGAGATCTCAAGAAGTGAAATGGTTTAGAATAGTGTTTTAAATCACTGATTGTCAAAGCAAAGGCAAATCTCACAGTTCAATATTGCTTCTATTTGTTGGTGACTTAAAGTTTGAATTTACGTGCAGTCTTCTACTTACAACATGCTTTGCAGACAAAATCTCTTAAAAAGAGAATTCTGATGTACTGCTCTTAGATTTTATTTCCAAGAAGATATATGCCCATATTATAAACAAAGAAATTTGTCTCAGGCTAAATGGCTTACCCAAAATAATATAACCAGTAAGTAGCAAAATCAGGCCACAGTCTTCAGAACTTATTCCTTTATCCCCTACTCATAATCTTTAACTCTTGAAATCATATAAAGTGTGAATTTAAAATTGAAGCATAAAAATGAAATTGAAGCTAAGAATGTTGATAATGCATTATAACTTCTGTGTATAAATTGTAAATGTCTGAATAAATAATTTATTAATATAAAATTACCTTGTACTTTCAAATTTGAAATTCTGTCATTTATTACTGCATAATTGTGTACAGCTATAACTTCAGTCTACAGGTTGATTAATGCATTGTATTGTGTGTCTGGTGGCTTTATAAATTTTTTTTTAGGTTCCTGATCAGTATGGAACAATCAGAGCTGTAGCAGAAGGAAAGGCAGATCAATTTTTGGTCGGCACATCACGAAACTTTATTTTACGAGGAACATTTAATGATGGCTTCCAAATAGAAGTACAGGTAAGCTGTATTATTTTAACCATTAACTGAAAATTTTGATGATACCCTTTGTTTCTTATAATAATGGGCATGTTTCTTTTTCAGGGTCATACAGATGAGCTTTGGGGTCTTGCCACACATCCCTTCAAAGACTTGCTCTTGACTTGTGCTCAGGACAGACAGGTGTGCATGTGGAACTCGGTGGAACACAGGCTGGAATGGACCAGGCTTGTAGATGTGAGTAAAGCAAAATGTGATTATAATTTCCCCACAGAAACGCCCTAAAACTGGCAGTTGGTAGCAGCAAAGCAAAAAGGACTCAGTATTGGTTAAAACCAGGTGTATTGCTATAGTTCAGTAAGGAGGAAGGGATAAGGGGAGAGTGTTTAGTTACAAAGTACATCATGAACCCACTCCAAAGAAGCAAGTTAACAGGATAGAAGCTCAACTTTTCTGTCAGGTTCAGTAGTAAAAATCACGAATATTTCACATCTTTATGGAGCGTTAATTGTTACGGAAATGTTTGGGCTGCTGGTGGTGGGGCAGTTGGGTTCAGTAGGTACTGCTCACTAACAGATTCTACTGTCTTCTTTTTGAGTTGGTCTCTTACTGTGTTTCCTTTCTACCCCACCCAGATATTCACCTTTTCTAGCCTAAAAGGTGTATACACGTTCTTTGCAGACTCTAAAGAACTGTACAAATGTTTGTTGTTACCCTTATTACTGTTCCACTGCCTCGCTGCAAGCTGGTGGGCCTCTCCCCCTCCCACTCTGCCAGCATGTCCCCTTCCTGCTCTGAAATTCTTCTTCCTCTTATGTCCTTGTGGTATTCCCGTTGGCTGTAGTAAAGTTGATTGAGATTCCATGTTTATGTGAAACAAGTTGTTTTCAAATGTTTGCCACTCTTGCCGTAGATCTAGGGAGACTTTCTCGTGTGCGCCCAACAGCTGTCTGTCTCTCTTCTAGGAACCGGGACACTGTGCAGACTTTCATCCCGGTGGCACAGTGGTGGCCGTAGGAACGCACTCAGGCAGGTAGGGTCTCCAGGGGAAACGAGCGGAGTACTCCTAAGTGGTGGGGCGTTTAACCCAGGAATGCTCTCTGTCTGGTCTGGAGGATTGGTCTTTTCAGTGGCACAGTTTTATACCTTTTGCTCTTTTCTGTTATGTATACTCATTTAATTGCTCAGTAATTTCTTGTTAAGGACCTACCATCTGTTAGACCCAATTGTAAGAGTTGAGGCTCCATCACAGCACAAAGCAAAAGTCCCTGCCCCCATGGAGTTCACACTTCAGTGTGTGTCAGGGGTGGAGGCAGAATAAGAAATAAGCCTTAACTAGTTAAGTTAGTTACTAACTAATTAAGTTAGAAAAATGAAGAGCTATGATGGGGGAGGGTTGAGCAAAGAAGAGGGATCTGGAAGGGTACTGTTAAAAATGATAAATAAGGAGGTCAGGACAGGCTTCACTAAGAAGGTGGCATTTCAGCAGACTTGACCCTCCCTTGTGACATTTTCTATGGTATCAGAAAACTTCTGTCCTCGTTATCTTTAAAAAGGGAAGGAAATCGAATCTGAAATAACCCAGTTGAGCTTTTGTTTGAGCTATAGCTCTTTTCCTTCTTGAATGCTACACAGGTAAATAATAAAGGTATGTGTCTTGAAATTGTTATTAATTACTTATCTTTGCAGACCTTGTATAGTACCTTTCCAAGGCTATTAAGTAATATATATTTATTATTTGATTTTTTAATTGTCCTTTTTATTGCCTCTGCTAGTAAGTAGCCCTCATCACAAATAGCTTAGTTTCTCTTTTAAAGAGGCAGAGGAAAAATATAAAGTCAATTTTCAAAAGTTAAACCCATAAAAAATGTGGAATGCTGATTTCTAATAAGGTAAAAGTATTGTGAACACACTTATATAAATATTTTTATGAATGTAACAAATAATTCAAATCATCCAGTTTATTTCAGTTCAGTCATTCAGTCGTGTCCAACTCTTTGTGTCCCCATGGACTGCAGCACGCCAGGCTTCTCTGTCCATCACCAACTCTCAGAGTTTACTCAAACTCATGTCCATCGAGTCAGTGATGCCATCCAACCATCTCACCCTCTGTCGTCCCATTTTTCTCCCACCTTCAATCTTTGCCAGCATCACGGTCTTTTCTAATGAGTTAGTTCTTTGCATCAGGTGGCCAAAGTATTGGAGTTTCAGCTTCAGCATCAGTCCTTCCAATGAATATTCAGGACTGATTTCCTTTAGGATGGACTGGTTGGATCTCCTTGCAGTCCCAGGGACTCTCAAGAGTCTTCTCCAACACCACAGTTCAAAAGCATCAATTCTTCGGCTCTCAGCTTTCTTTATAGTCCAGCTCTCACATCCATACATGACTACTGGAAAAACCATAGCTTTGACTAGATGATTTATTTAATTCCAGTTTACTTAATTCTAACTAAATTTAGCCATTTAGAGTTTTTTTCTAATCAAGATTTCCCCTTTGGCTGTTAGATACAAATTAATACCTCTGGAAAATCAAAACATTTTCAAAATCCTCATTTACAGTGCTCAGAATCATGGAAGAACAGGTCTTTAAGGTAAAGATAAACTTTGAAATGTGGGTATGTAATTAGAGATGTTGTTTGAGTGGTTCTGAAATAGTGGAATTTTAGAATTAGGCTGCTTGGGAGTGTAATTGGTGATAACTTACAAATATAAATGGCTTTCCTATCTCAGATTTCCTCAAAATACATGTCATTAATAGATTGTTACTTGGACTAAACAGGCATATGGCAGGCCACTTTGTAGAATTTGGAGGAAATTTATTTTCTGTTTTACAAAAAATATATGTCTTAAGCATGTAAGAATCACCTAAACTATAGTGGTGAACTGGCTTTCAGGAAACTACAAAGGAGTTTACTTCAGATCTGTTTTGGGGGCAGCTGAACAGATATTACAAATCTAATATCAATGAAACAGTAAGAATAAGAGCTACCATTTATTCACAGTCTGATGACACACCTTGTACTAAATTATTTTTCATATTGTACTTTAAATTTTAACAAGAATGCAACAAAATGTTCATTAATATCTCCTTTGCACAAACAGGAAACCCAAGACCCAAGTCACATGAGTCACTTGTGCTTGAGCTGGGATTTAACTCAGGTTCTATATGATTCAAGTTCTATGTGGTTTTAAAGCTTGTCTCTTTCCAGGACTCCACCAGTACACTTTTGAGATGTGCTTATGGTGTTTGTAGTATTACTTAGAAATGTTGCAAGGAGAGTTTATCTTTGAAGGTTGAGTCACTGTCTGACAGTGATTTAAAAGTGTTTACTGTGTATAATAAGGAGTCAGCACTGAGTGAAGTCGTCAGTGCTCGAAGGACTGAATCATTAAGACTCAGCCCCTTCATTGGATGCATGTACAATATGTGTACATACAGAGCCCCAGTTTTTAATGAAAAGCAGATCTGATGAAACTTACTGAAGTTACTTTCTAACATTTAGTATAACTGTGAAGTCATCATTAACAAATTTAAAAGGAAAGGTTACTTAATGTAAGTGACTTAGCTAAGCCAGTTGTTTCCTCTTGGAGTTGTGAGTAGGAAAAACCTTATGAATGAGTGATATAACTCAAAAGTGCTGTCAGTCAGTTCTTTCTAGTGTAGAGTTGGGGATTGTTTAAAATCTAGGGGAGATGTAGTTATCAGTGTTCATTTTCCTGCCTTTGATTCTTAGAGAACTTTTCTTGTTTATTATTATTTTTTGCATGGGTCTGTGAACACCTGGCTCTCTTGTCTAAAACAAAATTCCTCGGTGTAACCGTTCAGATTGTTATCACTGACCCTCAGCCTGCAAAAAATCACACTGAGGGCAAGAATTTTTTTTCTAAGTTTAATACAGCACATTATCCAAATTGTTCATGATCCCAAAAAGGTGACTAGCAACACGTTTAAAGATGTGTTCATGTCCATATCTAGAAATCTTCTACTTGTAATCAAAAAGTAAGCACAAGTGTGAATAAATTATCACAATGATAAATAAAATTATCATTTTAAAAGACTATATTATGAATACAATTTCTAAGGGAAAAAATTAAATGCCTGGCCCTAAGTGGACATACTGCTTCCTTAACATTGCTATTCCTTATATATTAATAGTAAGGAGTCTTTTTAATAGCTTTATTGAGATATAATTCATATACCTTAAAATTCACCCTTTTAAAGTATACAGTGCAGTAGTTTTCAAGAAGTTCACAGCATTGTGGAACCCTCATCACAAGCTACTTTTAGAACATTTCATTAACCCTGAAAGAATCCCTGTACACTATAGCAGTCACTCCTCATCATCCCCACCCACTTCCAGCCCTGAGTAACTGGTCTACCTTGTATTTCTATAGGTTTGCCTATTCTGGACATTTCATATAAATACAATCATATAATTGTGATTTGTGACTAGTTTCTTTCACGTAACATGTTTTGAAGGTTCATGTATGTTGTAGAGCATGTATCAGCATTTCATTCCCTTTTGTCACCAAACATCCCATTGTACGGCTGTACCTCAAATAACCGTTTGAATTGATATTTCCGCTTTACGACTGCTGTAAGCAGTCATACACAAGCTTTTGTGTGGACAAATGTTTTCTGTTCTCTTGGGTATACACCAAGGAATAGAGTGAACTATGTTTAAAACATTTTAAGGAGCTTCCAAATTGTTTTGCACAACAGTTATACCATTTTACAATTCTGCCAGTAAAATATAAGGGTTCCAATTTCTTTCCATCCTCACCAACAGTTGTCATTGCCTGTGTGTTGATTACAGCCGTCCTAATGGCTGTGAAGCGCTTTTTCATTGTTTTAATTTGCATTTCTCTGATGGCTAATGATGTTGAGTATCTTTTTCATGTGTTCATTGGTTATTTACGTATGGCCTCTTTAGAGAAATGTCTCTTTATATCCTGTGCCTATCTTTGAATTGATTTGTCTTTTTATTCTTAGTTGTAAGGGCTCTTTATATGTTCTGGATATAGTACCTCATCAGATGTATGACTTGCAAGTATTTTCTCTCATTCCAGTGGTTGTCTTTTCACTTTCTTTCTTTCTTTCTTTTTCTAATATCTATTTGGCTGTGTTGGGTCTTAGTTGTGGTATCCAGGACCTTTCATTACAGCGAACGGTCTCCCTAGTTGTGGCATGGTGTGCAGGCTTAGTTGCCACACAGCATGTGGGATCTTAGTTCCCCAACCAGGGCTCAAAAACAAGTCCCCCCATTGCAAGGCAGATTTTTAACCACTGGACTGCCAGTGGAAGTCCCCCTTTTAACTTTCTTAATGGTAACTTTTATTGCATAAAAGTTTAAAATTTTTATACTGTACCATTTATCTGTTTTTTCTCTTAGTCTTAAACATTTACTACAACATTTTCTTATAAGAATTTTATAGTTTTAGCTCTTACCTTGAGATCTTGATTTTGAGTTAATCTTTGTATATGATATGAGCTAGTCTTTGTATAGATATTCAACCTCATTCTTTTGCATGTGGATATCCAGTGTTGCAGCACTGTTTCTTTCTTTCTTTTTTTTAGCACTGTTTTTGAAAAGACTTTTCTTCCTGCAGTGAAGACTTGAAACCCTTGTTGAAAACCAGTTGACCATAATTGGGTTTCAATCTGGATTCTCACTTATATTCCATTGATCTCTATGTTCATCCTATGCAATACTGGTCTTGATTATTATAGCTTTGCATTATGTTTTGAATTGGGAAATGTGAGTCCTCCAACTTTGTTCTTTTTTGGGGTGGTTTTAGCTATTCAGGATTCCTTGAATTCTACGTGAATTTTAAGATCAGCTTGTCAGTTTTGCAAAGAAGCCTTGATAAGGAGTGTTTTCTTCTTTATAGATCAGTTAGAATATATGTCACTATTTGAACAATATTAAGCCTTCCAATTTCTGAACAGGTGTTTTTCCATTTATTTAGGTCTTCAACTTTCTTCAAGGATGTTTTTAGTTTTTAGGGTACAAATTTGCACGTTTGTTAAATTGTACCAAAGTATTTCATTTTCTTGATGCCATTTTGAATGAAATTGTTTTCTCAGTTTGATTTTTGGAATATTCATTGCTGGTATATGTAAATACAACTGCTTTTTGCATATTGATCTTGTATTACTTGAATAAACCAGCAGTAATACTTGAAGATCAACAGAGAAATTACTGTGAACCTGAGTGGTCAGAGAGCACCTCCCAAAGGAGGTGGAGCTGGTCCTGCCTTGTAGGAGTTCTGAGATCTTAAGAAGGCAGTGAAGAGTTAGGAGCTCATATCAAACAGCGGAAGTGGATTGAGCCAACGCAAGAAACTATGAACTAACTAAAATAGAACATTCCTTAAAGGCCTCTTGATAGCTAAACAGTGGAATCCAAACTTCTTAGCCTGGCGTTTAAAGCCCATTAAAAATCTCTCCCTCACCATTCCAGCCAGAGTGGTTAAGTTGTTGTCCTTCAGATACACCTCAGTCCTTTCTGTCCTTTCTTACCTGTTCCTCTCCATTTGATTCTCAGCACATTTGAAAGAATGAAATCCTAAACCACCCACATCCTCAGTGATTACTCCCTGCTCTGAAACGTCATGATCCTTCATGATCATAAGAGCAGTTGGGAAAAGTTACAAACCTGCCACCCAGAGGATACACTTTATGTGATGAATATTTTTTTAATGCATTTTATGAACAGATACAGATTCATTTAGAGACTTTAACATATGATACTTTCCAGCTCTGAAATCTTATGATTCTCCTTTTGCCACTAAAGAAATAAATGTGTGTGTGTGTGTTTTTAATCATCAAATTATGGTGGTAGTGTGTGTGGTTATTTGACTTACAATCAGATTAGTTTAAATATATGGCCAAAGATTTCCCACCTCTGATGCTGAGCAGTTCCATTTAGAAAGATCCTTTAGGCCGCATAGAGCCCCATAATGATTCTTTGAAGCAGAAGCTTGGTTCCAGAGTATATACTCTAGATTAGAATGAGAATGCAATTCAGCACAGTGAAAACTTAAATTATTTATCTGAAGAAAAATTCCTTTACTTCTCCATACTTTCATTAAGGATAGAGGTCCTGAGCTAGAAAATCTTTTCTGAAGGTAGAATGTGAATTCATGCACTGAAAAGGGTGGGAGCCTTAAAATTATTGCTGTATACTTTTCACAACAAAGTTATTTTAATTATTACTAAAAATTACTCGCCACGAGTGAAAGAATTAATCTCTGATAGCTTCCCACATAGCTCAGCTGGTAAAGAATCTGCCTACAATGCAGAAGATCCCACTTTGATTACTGGGTCTGGAAGTACCCCTGGAGAAAGGCATAGCAACCCACTCTAGTATTCTTGCCTGGAGAATCCTCGTGGACTGAGGAGCCCAACGGGCTACAGTCCAGGGGTTTGCAAAGAGTCAGACACACCTGAGCGACTAAGCACGCATGCGTGCACTTAAAGAAACAGACAAAGTAAGCAGAGGGTTTTCTGTTGTTTTTTTTTTAATTGTTGTTTCTTTTTTGAGAGCTACCATCTCTCACCAGTAAATAACTCAGTTTTAGGTTCTACGTATTATATACCAGCAGACATTCTGGAGGATTTTTATTACTTTTTTTTTTTTTTTTTTGAGTTCCCTGACCAGGAATCAGACCCATGCCCCCCTGCAGTGGAAGTGCAGAGTCCTAACCGCTGTACCACCAGGAAATTGCCTTTTTTTTTTAGAAAAAAATTACTTTTAAAGAGAGTTTTCAGAGCAGTAAATTTGTTTTCAGTTTTCCTAGGAAGATTGAACTGTAAACAATATCAGTCGAGGCTTCTTCAAAATAAAAATTGGTAATTTTAAATGCCTAAGAAAGTATAGTGAAGTGTTTACATAAACTCATTAAAAACTTAAAGCCCACAGAGCAGTGTTGTGTCTCATTGTTCTTCAGCCATTTCTTGGCTTAAGAGTAGTTTCACGGTGGCAGCCATAAAAATTGATGAATGGATTAATTACATTCTCAGGAGAAACCTATAATCTCTGCATACTGTCCAGTTGCAATAAAGTATGTTCCTTATGCACCTTTTGAAGTAGAAGTGATCGAACCATGAGCCCAGGGCTTCAAAGTGCCAGTTTCCTGCTGATTGAGTTTTCATAAACTTGGATATTTACAAATAGAAGCTACTTCTCTCAACTGAGTAAAAGGCAGAATTATTAATTAGGTTAGTACCTAGAAATTTCAACCCGTGACTCACAAGTTATTTGAAAGAATAGTGGTCTCTTTTCAGATACTTATTATAATGTTTCAAGATTAGAAGGAACTGTCATTATGACTCCTGCTATTGAATTTAGTGGTCGAACTTTTCCCATCTGAGTAATTAAGAACAAAACTTGCTGCTCATTAGTCCCATTCAGTTCCATGAAATTAAGATAGTGATTTTATTTTTCCAATTTTGTCCCATTCTTTCCACTCCAACCATTTCTTCTTACACACAGTATTTCAGTTACGTAATTGTTACGAAAACAGTATCTGTCATGTTTGAAACATTTTATATTTGTTCATTTGTCCATTCTGTAAATATTTATTTAGTGCCTGATCTGAACCAGGCAGTCTCAACTCTAAGCTCCTCCAGCCAACTGTGCCTGCTGTCTGTAACCTGCTCTCCTCTCTTTTATCTGTCCTTTAGTTGTCCTTCCTTAGTTCCCGGTCTTCGCTTTGAACCCCGTATCTCACCCTGCTCTTAGAAAAGGGTCTGATAAGAGTCACTAACTATGGAGTTGGATATAAATCATTGTTTTACCTATCAAGAGACCTTTTCCATTTTGACTTTTCCTATAAATGTGATTGAAAAACTGCTTTTCAGAGAATTTAAGCGCTTGTATATGCTGGTGTTGGGGTTATTGGAGAGGTAGAGTGCCCCCTGCTGGTCCCTTTGCAGTCTCAGCAAGTGAATGGCCTGCCTTTCCCTCCCACTGTCATACTATCCATGTTTCTTCCCACCTCCCTGGCAGTGCAGCTGTCACTCCTGCATGAACTGCCTGTAATTCACCCTCAATGTGCAGCTCAACCCATATTCTACTGATATATCCTCCCTAAAGGTTTTTCTATGCCTGCTGTTATTTTTCTTCTGAGTTCCTCTATTATACATAGTCACCATCAGTGAGATTAGCACTTAATTGTGCTTTGTTTTAATTAGCTCATTTCCTTTTCCCTGGCTCTAGTGTAATTTTCAGAAACACTGATCATCTTGTCATTTTCTATTTGGAAAGTGCCTGTCAGAGAGACACCCATGGCATTCAGTGAATACCTAAATAGAAATGAGAACATGCCTAGGCCCATACGTTTAAGTATATTGCATCTAGTAACATTTTGCAAAATGAATTCATCCTTCATTAGAAAAGGGTAACGTGTCCAGCTTTAGGGCATTATTAAAATTTCTTTTTACATGTACCATGTGCTAACCGATTGCGCCACTGGAGCTTCTAAAATTTCTTTTTAAAGGGAGAAAAAAGTCAGCAGCTATTTTTTTTCTATAAATGCTAATGTCTGAGGAAAATGTTGATTTTTTTACTTCCTAACAGGTGGTTTGTTCTGGATGCAGAAAGCAGAGATCTAGTCTCTATCCACACAGACGGGAATGAGCAGCTCTCAGTGATGCGCTACTCAGTAGGTAGGCAGGTTTACTCCCACTCCTGGGGCATTTACGGCTTTTCTCAGTGATTGCATATTTCACTTCCAGTAATGCTGACTACTTTTTTCTCTGCTCTCTAAAGTTGCTAAGTATTGAATATGTTTCCCCAACAGTAGATTTAATTCTGCTGTAGGAAACTGCAAAAGATCTGCTAAAGTTAAACAGTATTCTAAATCCTCAAGCAAACATAAATTTAGAACGAACTGTTACAACTGCATTTGCAGTTGAAAGCAGAATACAGAGCAATCAAATACCATTTTTTTTTAAACTACACCTACTTAGAATTTTGAATAGGTATTAGGCTGAATGTTAATAAACTTAGAAAACTTTTCTTTGTATATAAGAGGATATAAAACAAATTATAATATTCAAAGAATACAAATTTTATAGGCCCTTCAAGTTCTTTTAAAAATCTCTTTAGTTTGCTTTTTACTGTTTACGTAGGAATGATTGGTTTGTTAATTAGATAAAATACTCAGCAACTCATTATAAGAATGTGGTCAGTTCATTTGGCTACTTTGAGTAATTCTTTTGTATTTTATTCAGAATATTAAGTTTCCAACACCTTTTTCCCTGTATTAATATGGTTTTGATCCACACAGTTCAAGTGATATTTTCTTATATTCAGAAATATATTCCAGTAGTTGTTGGATCAGTGTGAAATCCAAATGATCTTTTTGATGGCTTCTAAGTCATTTCAAAGGAAGCCGAAAATGCTATTCTCTATGTTGAACAAAGAAGGAAAATATTTGCTTTGAGCTATAAGCTTGGCAAGAGTTATTTTGAAGAAGAAAAGGATACCTTTTCTGTTTTAGTTTGGCTTTTTTCAGTGCTATAATAGCAAATAACTGCTCAAATGTAGCATTTAAAACCCCAAGATCAAATGAACTTTATTGACCGTCTGTTATGTGATAAGTACAATGGAGGAGATGATAGAAGAGAACACGGTCCCTTCCCAAGAGAACCTATCCCATCACTGAAGAGGTCACATGTCCTCGGTTGAAATGAACAGTTGTACACTCAACTTGCTATATGAATCCTGTATATTTAAACCTATAAAACCAGGTTAACCTCCTAGTCTGTAGCTAACTAGAAAGAGATGAAGCTAAGATCTGAGTCCAAGGCCCATGGAGCATTTCCAAGAAGGGATTGTGCACTTGACTAGATAACCATTTGGTTTTCAAGTATGTTTAGTGATGGAAAGAGTCATTCATTAAACACCAAGTAATAATTAATTTGATGAGATTTAACAACATTTGTAAAATATCATTTGGTATCGGTCCAGTAAAGGGACAGTAAATAAACCTGTCGGTGTATTTCTCTATTTGACTTTTTTCCTGTTTCATTCTAGATGGCACCCTCCTGGCTGTAGGATCTCATGACAACTTCATTTACCTCTATGCAGTCTCAGAAAATGGGAGAAAGTATAGCAGACATGGAAAGTGCACTGTAAGTAGTGAAGGGAAATAAATTGATCTATAAAATTGTTGGAAAATTTTATTTCGTAAAAAGAGTTAAATGTTTGCATTGATGTATCACCTTTAAACTTAGCAGATTGAAACTTCAGTCTCTATCTTTGAAAATTGACATCATCTGAGAGCAGAATTTTACAGTGCCCTTGCAGTTCTAGAAAGATTTCTCCTTGATGAAAGTTTAATACTTGTCTCTCTCTGACTGCTAGTTTTAATGCAGTTTCTGATATCAAAGCTACTTCCTTAGGAAATCCTTAGAAAATAATGCTTTTTTAAGATAAAGTGAGTCAGGAATGGAAGGGTACCTCTCATGTTTTAAGCTCAGTGTCCCATGATCCTACCCATCCTTGACACTGCAGTTTCGTTTCCATGTGACCTCTGTAGCACTAAACAGAACATAATTTCTATGAAGAATAGAAGCATACTTTCTTTAGTTTACTGCATTTCTGATTGATTGGTTTTATCATTGTAAGATGAAATTTAGGTTCAGTTACAGACATACTGAGTACCTATCTTATCACAGGCAGTTTGCTAACTCAGGAAGCATTCCAGGCACTGGGAATACACCTAAGATTTGTTCATTGTCCTCTAAAAGTACATATTCAAACTGAGGACAGAATGAAAAAGGCAGGAGGTTTAGCGTAGTGGTCATGGGAATAAACTTGGGATTGGACTACCTGGATTTTAACTCTCATTTCACCACTCACAAATGTGACCTTGGGCAAGTTATTTAAAACCTTCTACTTTGGTTTTCTCATTTATAGAGTGAATTTAGTAGTACTTTCTACTTCACTGGATTGAAACACGGCATATAAAATACTTGTAAATAAATGTACTCAATATATGTTAACTATTGTTTTTATAGAAAATGAGGTGGTTTGGTATGTGTGTTAGCAATCAATTTAGGATTATCAAATTACTTGATGAGTTAGTGGCACAGATTCTTCAACAGTCTTTACCACAGAAGAGTTTTAGGGCAATGAATAAAAGAATGCGTTTTTAAAAGCAAATACATAAGTAAAACCCAGGCCATTTACTATTCAGAGAAGAGACTTACTGTCTTTTTTGGTTTATTTTCTTTTTTCTTGGGGGGGGGAGCATATTTTGTACCATGTGCCAAAACCAGCCAATAAACTGATCTACAGGCAACCTTATAATTTTATAACTTAACCCAAAATATTTTTATTGACTTTGACAAAAATTATTAATTGGCATCCATTAATTTATTTAAATTACATCTTTTAATCAATTTATTATCTTAATAGTTGGGATATGGAATAGTAGAGTAACAGTGTCTCATTGTATATATAGCATGATCAAATGTTCCACTGAAAGGGATTTTCAGACTACTTAAGTTTACCCTACCAGGCACCAAAATTTTCTTAATTATTTTTTATCCCAACCTGTTTTTAAAAGTCCATGTCTTAATAAGTAGAGTATTATCAAATATAGTGTAATCTTGTGGAATCATAAAATTCTACAGTAGCACATTAGCTCAGACCTCATTTTATAGACCAAGAGCCTGAGTTTCCGTCTTCAGAGAAGGTTAAGTGGCTTGTCCTTGAGCGCATCTTGACATCGTGGCTGATCTGGGGCCTGAACTTGTTCCCCTGACTCTTAGCAGAGCAGACTTCTCCAGTACAGAAACGCCTCAGATCTGTTAATGCGTGTGTGAGTGCGCTCTGCTCCTAGAGCTCAGCGCCTGATGCAGAAAGGTCAGCGTGTGACGCTGGGCAGTGAGACGGCCTTGGAAGTGTTGAGAATTGGCAGGTTTATCAATTGCATGACACTTATTTAGCCTTCTCCAGTTAGGCAGCTTGTATCTAGAGCATATGAAAGTATTATGTTGAGATATCTTTAAGAACTGTGAAATTTTATAATACATTATGAGGCTATAATGAAAGGCTCGACTACTCTGCTTTTCTAATTATCTTCTGTTCTGTGCTTTGCTTCCAGCTCTCACTTCTCCTTGCTGTCTGCTTCCACCAGCTGGTCTTAAACCTCATGTCTGCTTTTATCTGTTGTCTGCTATGATATAGGACAGAAAAGGTTGGGCTAATGCTGCCTGGCCACTGTCTAGGTTGCAACTTTAGGCAAGTTAATTTCTGAATCTTAATTCTTAAAATTGGAGATTATAATAGTTCCTACTGTTATAGGATTGCTGTAAAGATTTTAAATGTGGCAACTAGACCTACTCTCAAAGTTCCAAACACAAGTGCTGTTTTCTATTTTGTTTCCAGTATTTCCTCTTATTACTAGTTAACATTTAAGTGACCCTATAGGTTCAGAAACATACTGGGCTTAGAACTCTAGGAAGTGTCCCTCTAATAAATTACAAGCAGGCAGCTGAAACTGTCCCTGAATGCCAACATAGTAGCTTTCTGTTTGACTCAAATTCCCGCATGCCTTTTAACACGCTACTCCAAGATGTGAACCCAGGAGAGAGAGTGTGTATTCAAGTTGTAGTGATGTACTAAAAAGCATTATAAATAGGTAAGAATTGCTGGTAAAATGTTTCTTTTTTGGTCAGGATTTTGGTAAATGAAAATATATATACAAAGAGAAGAATAAAAGACTTGTAAACTGTCTACCTGGAAATCACCAAGAAAATTACCCATAAAACTAATGTTGTATACATTTCAGTATTACTGTAACAGAAATTCTATTGCAATCCTTTGTGGCTTAAACAAATGGGGGTTATGTTTTCATTTAAAAGAAGTCATCAGGGACTCAAGATTCTTCTTTCTTTCTACTGCCGTCATCCTCAGTATGGTGCTCCTGGAATTCCAGTCATCATGTCCTGGTTCCAGGAAGCATCAGAGCAAGGGGAAAAAAGACGTTCTTCCTCCTAAGTCAGTTCTAAAGTTTCCTTAGCAGCCCCACTCAGTGACTTCTGCCACCCATAACTGCAAAAGAGTTTAGCAGATACAGGGTTTTAGCTGGGTACTGGAAAGGAGAGATAGTGGAATGGATAAATATGCTTTACATATCTACACTCTGAAGATTGAGTTAGAAAGGCTGATCCTCTGGAAATTAGCTTTCTCTCAAACCAGCAAAGCACATCAAAAATTGCAATAATAACAAAAACTGTCGATGCTTTGAGAATAGACTTAGCAAGAAAAGCACAGGAAGCTATGTGAAGAAGCATGGCTGAAATACAAACCAAGAACTGGAAAATAGACATAACGTATTTCTGGAAGAGAAGACTTGACAAAATATCTGTCCTCTACAAATTAGTCTCTAAATTTGATGCACTCTTACTTAAATTTTCATGATATTTATGAGCTTGATAAAATGGTTCTAAAAGTTCATCTGAGATTTTCCACATTATAAAACTATCACATTTGGCTGGGAATAGGTAGATAGACTAATGGAACAGAGAAGAGAGTCCAAAAACAGATCTCTGTTTATATGGAAATTTACTAGATAATACAAGAGGTATTTCAAATCAGTAGAGAAACAGTGGGCTCTTCTCAGCCTGCATTGTCCAGCGTCACAGCTACTAACCGCAACTTTATGAAATTAACTACAATTCAGTTCCCTGGGAACACTGGCCACATTTTGGGTACTCAGGAGCCACAGGTGCTGGCTGCTGCTGCATTGGACTGCACAGATACACATGTTTTCATCACTGCAAAAAGAAAGCTCTGTTGGATGTCACTGCCCTAGATAGTGAGGGGATACCTGCTAAGTTGATTCAGTCGTGTCTTGACTCTCTGCAACCCTATGAACTGTAGCCTGCCAAGTTCCTCTGTTCATGCAATTGTCCAGGCAAGAATGCTGGAGTGGGTTGCCTCCAGGGGATCTTGCCCACCCAGGGATTGAACCTGTATCTCTTATGTCTCCTGCATTGGCAGACAGGTTCTTTACCACCAGTCAGGACCTGTTAGATAATAGAAAATTGATTCTTTGGGGAGTGTCATTGGGCTCGCTGAGAATCAGATCCCTCAACACTTGACACCTGTTGAAAAACTGCCACAAGCTTTTCAAATATCCAAACCAAGAAAGCCCCTGTTACAAACCTACTTCATTGTCAGGCTCTCCATGGCTTAGCATCATGGCCCCCCACCCCACAGCATCCACCTGGACACTTGCTTAGGAAGAATTTAGTGCCCTATGAACTCAAGTCCTCAGTACTTTTTTGAAAACTCATCAGGTAATATTAATCTACAGCCAGGGTTGTAAAGGATTGATGTAAGTGATGACATTCTGTGCGATTAACAGAAGATTTAGCTTCAGACTTTTTCAGAGTGTATTCTCAGGCACCATCATTTGTGATTGTTACTGCGGTTACACCATTCAGCTGCTGAAAGGCACTCATGAACATACCACCTTAGAATACTCTTGCTTCTCTTCTGGGGGTATACTTACTGGTTACCAACCATGTATTGCCTATGGGGGGACACTTGAGGGGGTTTCCCCCAACATATGCGTGTATCTTTGATGGCCTGTGAGTTAGATGAGACGAGGACGCTGAAGTGGAATCTAGGAAGGCAGCATCATAGATTCCTAGCTGAAAGTCGCCTCTCATCTTTGCTTCTTTATCGGACCCCATATCAGGGAGAAACTCTGTTTTCCAGGATGAATTGATAGCTTTCTAAACTTGAGGGCTTTTCCTACTCAAGTTCTTTTTGAGAACACTTGATATTTAGGTTTTTTTACCAACTAAATACATCGTGCCCAACACAGATGTGAATTAAATGAATGTTATGTATCCACACAGTGCTTTTGATTCTAAGTTTCTTCAGAGAGATTCAAACAGTGTTTTTAAACACTATGTGAGGAAGAATGCTTCCTGGAGGACAGTACTTTGCCATGATTAGTTAAATCCTTCATTCATGTAGTGCCAATGTTCTCATCTTAGAAGCTTGGCTTCTCTGGATGCCAGCCAGGCATCAGATTGATGAACCCTGTGAAAAAGATTTGTGTGACATCGTCCTCCCGCCATATTCAGAAAATATCCACAGACCATATACATCTTACTGGCCCTGATTTCTTGTTAAGTTGGGAGGTCTCCCACATGCCTAGCAAGTAATTCCTAACCTGTTTGCTGACATAGCACCTAACCTCCAGTGACTTCAGGAAGCTTTGTGGTTCTCAAAGTCACGTAAATCCATTTAGATGTATGAAGTTGGGTATTTGCCATACAGCACTGTGGTGGATTATAGCACCAGGGAGGTTTTAGGACATGTCGTGAACTGCAGAAGGCTCCTGGAATAATTAAAATACTTTGTGTAAGTCATTTAAAAGTATTTTTAATTCATTAGCATTTTTTGAAAATTTATTTTTGGCTCTGCTGGGTCTTCACTGCTGCACAGGCTTTCCTCTAGTTGTGGCTGTCGGGTGCTGTTCTTTGTTGCAGTGCTCGGGCTTCTCATTGCAGGGGCTTCTCTTGTGGACCACAGGGTCTAGGCCTCGTAGGCTTCAGTAATTGCGATTCCTGGGTTCTAGGGCACCGGCTCAGTAGTTGCGGCACATGGGTTTAGTTGCTCCGAGGCATGTGGGTCTTCCAAGATCAGGGATCGAACCCATGACTCTTGCATTGGCAGGTGGATTCTTTACCACTGTGCCACCAGGGAAGCCCCTGAATTTATTGACTTTAAAAATAAAAACCATGTGAGCAGAAAGCCAGTAATTCAAAAAGTACAATCAAAATTATTAATAAATGTTTTAATACAGAGTACAAGAGAGAAGTGATTTTGAGTCTCTCCTGGCTTTAGTGTAAACTGTAAGACCTGTGTGATTTAACTGCAATTGTTTATTGAAAGTCATCAGATGCTTACATGTGAAGCCAGCCCAGTATGGCACTTCAGTAATTTTTTGTTTGAATTCCCAGTGTCAATAAGACCTAAGCAGAAAAAGATCTGTCCTTTTGTATAAAGAGTCAGATAGATGATTAATTATTGGATCCAGTTGATCAGAGGGAGTGTGCTATTGGGTAACTTTTTCCCCAGCATATTCTTTGGAGATAGGAGTTTTTTAGGAGATCTCCACATGCCATGGGTACTCAAGAAACAGGCCAGGAAAACTGTACTCTTTTTGTATCCAACCTGGAACCAATATTTCATTCTCAAAAATGAAGTCACTTTGATTAGGGCCACTAGTGACTTGAAATAAGGCCCGAGGTTTTCATGTCTGTTCAGTGCCTTCTAAGAGACTGTCTTCCCTGGAAGTGTAGCACTGGTAGTCCTCGATGATGGTATCCAAGTGGAGGCACCAGCAGGATACACTCAGCTTCTGAGTGCTGACTGTTCCCACTGTGGCCGGTTCTCTTCAGTTTCACAGTTCTGGCTCCCAACCAAAGACCTGCTCCAAACCATAAGCCTTATTTAGTTCTAGAGGCCGTGATACTGCTCTACTTCAGGAATTGCCAGTGAGTGGCTACCGAGAAGGCAGTATTAACTGTGAGACTACTTGTCATTCATTCAGAACTCTCAATACATTCTAATGATTGATGTGTTACTTCCTAGGGACATTCCAGCTATATCACACACCTTGACTGGTCCCCAGACAACAAGTATATAATGTCTAACTCTGGAGACTATGAGATCCTGTACTGTAAGTATAAATGATCACATACGGCTGAGATGTGTCTGTCAGGGGGCAGTAAAGAGCAGGCTCCGTGAAATCTGAAATGTGCAGCCACTGCACACTGGCCCCTCTAACATGACAAAGCATGTGCTGCTTAAAGCTGGCTAAGGACTAAGACTCTGAAAGTAATCAGTTCATGCAAATGTCATACAAAATTATTCAGGGAGACTGATCCTGCTATGGATGGTTCTGTATTTAACAGCTTTTCCTGGAGATAGGAAGGAGTATAATGGATGGGCATTTATGCTTTTTAAAGAAAAAAGAATAACTTCACTGGGAAAGTGTATAGTTCTGTGTGTTCGTGTGTGTTCATTGCATCCGACTGTTTGCAACCCCATGAACTGTAGCCCACCAGGCTCCTCTGATCCTGGAGTTTTCCAGGCAAGAATACTGGAGAGGTTTGCCATTTCCTACTCCAGGGGATCTTACTGACCCAGGGATCTAAAAGCATGGTAAACACTTTCTTTTCCTCTCAACTGTGTCTTAATATGTTTCAGTGTATGGATTATAAATACAAGTAAACATGGCTATTTTGAATCAAGATGCATTTTCAAATTCATTTGTACACAAGCACTATGATTATACTTCCTGTTTCTAAATTTAAAGGGGACATTGAACATGGCTGCAAACTAATAAGAAATCGATCAGAATGTAAGGACATCAATTGGACGACATACACCTGTGTGCTAGGCTTTCAAGTCTTTGGTAAGTTCATTGCACTTGATGGGAAAAGTCGGTCTTGTGCTGTTTTTTGTGTAATACTTAAATTTCTAAATGAAAGATAGTCTCTATGTATTCTTTTATTTTTTATTGAAGTATAGTTGAATTACAATGTTAATTTCTGCTATCTAGCAGACTCAGTTATTCATACACATACATTCTTTCTCATATTCTTTTCCATTATGGTTTGTTACAGGATATTAATATAGTTCCCCATGCTGTACAGTAAGACCTTGTTGTTTATCCATTATATATATACTAGTTTGCATCTGCTAATCCCAAACTGCCAGTCCAACCCTCTCACACCCCTCCCCCTTGGCAACCACCAGACTGTTCTCTGTGTCTGTGATTCTGTTTCATAGATGGGTTCAATTTGTCATATTTTTTTTCCAATTTGTCATATTTTAGATTCCACATATAAGATGTCATAACGGTGTATGTCTCTCTCTTTGACTTCCTTCATTTAGTACTACATGTGTTCTTTCGTGTTAACTGGTATTAATGTCCAATTCAGAGAAGTTAAATATATTAGGATTGAAGCAATACAAGGTTTATACTCTACAGAATCCATTGGTCCATAATAAATATAAAAGATAATTAAAAAGGAAAGGCATTTACATACTATTATAGATTGCCTTTCACGTTTTTTCCTCCAGGTGAAAATTGAAGCTTTCAAATTAGTAAAAAGCATTTTCAAAATAATACCTTTAGTATCACATACCATATACCTATTTAAACTGTATAATTTGGTTATTTCAGCATATTCACCAGATTGTGCAGCCATCATCACTGTTGAATTTTAGACCATTTTCATCACCCAGAAAGAAATTCTCTGCCCGTGAGCAGTCACTCCCCTACCTCACCCTTCCACAACCTCCCAGCAACCACTGATCTCCTTTTTTTTTAATGATTCACATACTCAGAACAGTTCATATAAATGGAATCATACAATATGTGATTCATTGAAACAGACTTTTTTCCCTTAGCAGGGTTCATCATGTGGTAGCAAGTATCAGAACTTTGTTATGGCTGAACATCCCCATGTACAGCTGTTCCACATTGTTCATTTTCCACTTTTCAGCTGTTATAAATAATGCCAGCATAAACAGTAATGTACAAGTTGTAGTGTAGACATGTTTTCATTCTCTTGGGTGATCCACCTAAGAGTGGACTTGCAGGGTCAAATGGTAATTCTGTGTTAGACCTTTTGAGGAACTGCTAGACTGTTTCCCATAGTGGCTGCGCCATCTTCTTAACTCCCAGCAGCGTACCAGGTTTCTGTCTCCACATGGTTGTCAGCAGCCGGTTGTGGTTTTGCGTGTGGGTGTCCAGCTTTCCCACTACCATTGGTTGACATATGAAGGCATTTTCAGTAGACATTATTTAAAGATAAAAAGGGTGGAGATCATTCCTAATACGATGTTTTGAACAGTTCTAGAAATATGTCCTTTGACAGTTTTCTCAATCTTTGCCAGACTGTAGGATTCCTTCTGAGAAAGTTAGGATTAAAAAGAGATGGTATACTCTGTAATTAGAATACTGGATATGGATATGGCACCAGCACCTAAAGCAGTACCCAAAATAGGAGGGTTTTCCCTTATCAGTGTATCTCTGCCTCCTGAAAACTGGACTCTCTCCACCCTGGTGGTAGCTTCTTTATGCAGTGTGCATTAGGGAAAAAACCCATTATAGGTACTTGTTCTAAACTAACTGCTATAGAGATGAAGAAGCAACTAAGTAAGCTTGGAAGAAATTAAAATAATCCTGACTAGGCCATAAACAAATTCATTATTCTGGGTGAAGCTGAAGCAGTGGCCAATAGGTGGTAACTTACCTAGTTATTTTAATGAAACAATATTTAATTTACTTATTAAGAGATGTTAATTAATGTATTAACTAGAGACATATTAATACTTGAGTTACTCAAATGTTATTGACCAGAGATGTTTCAGTATTCACTTACCTAACTAATCATTGGCCACAGGCATTCCTTTCTGCAAAGATTACTTGGTCAATAATGTGTTATGAAGTGTTTTGTCTTAACCAAATTAAATGCCCCCCCACCCCCCCGCCGAAAAAAATTGTTCTGTAGAGCAGTATTGAACTAGAGGAAGCCAGCTTCTCAACTCTTACATATTATTTTTAATCTAGTATGGATTTGTGCTAATCATGTTGAACATCACCAGTACCTCAGGATGATTTCAGAATAATTAAATTTGCTGTGTCAACTTTTGGACATAAATAGTAGTTCCAGGAAAATTTTATGGATAGCGTGATAGACTAGTGGATTATGACCTATGCCTTTCCATTAAGAAAGAAAATGTTTTTTTTTTTTAAGTGCCTGCCTGAAAAGGAGCAGTGAAAAAGTATGTAAATTTTAGACTGCCCAGAGTCCACTTTGCAGAATTAGTGCCCACATTGTTTCTGCACTCTGGTACAGAAGTAACTGAGAATTTCCCCTCCAGCTAGAAACTTTGAGGAGCTTATTGTTGAGTTGAGACAAGCTGTATTTATTAGCCCCACCTGCTGGTTACTAGTGAGTACTTTTGAGTCTTAAAATCTTAAATTTTCAATCTTGAGGTTATTTCATTTTAATTACTATTAGTTAGATTTCAGATAAAATTTCATTTGAATGAAGTATTGAGGCACTAAGAAATCTGTAAGGGAAATGTAGCAGCTAAGAGTCTGAACACAGATGAAAATTAATAAGATTCTAAAATAAACATATGTAGCATGGCAGTTGTATTTTTCAGACTAATTTTTCTAACACTGCACCTCCCAACCCCCCCGCCATGTTTCCATATCAAAGGTGTCTGGCCAGAAGGATCTGACGGGACAGATATCAATGCACTGGTACGATCCCACAACAGAAAGGTGATAGCTGTTGCTGATGACTTTTGCAAAGTCCATCTGTTTCAGTATCCCTGCTCCAAAGCAAAGGTAAAACCAACTTACTAAAGACTAGTGTTATACCTGGGGCCTTTTGTTTGGGGGATAATTTTGTGTCAATGGTGGGAAAGTATTTGTAGGGTTCCTAATTAGTCTCCATGATGCTAGAGTGCACATGGGGAGAGAACAGGGCCATCTGTGAGCGTCCATGCAGGCTCGTCTTTTCCTTCCTTATGGTAAAAAGAGAAGACGCTTGATATTTCACTCATTTTTATTTATTTTTTTCATTTTGATATCTTAGCAGTTTTATATTTCTTCTAAACATATTAAAATATTTTATTTGATATACGATCAACATTATAAGACTCCTAAACCATCTATAATCCTACCAACCTAGTAAATTCTCCCCTAGCCAGCTCGGTAGAATAGTCACTAAACTCTTAACAAGTATACCACCCTGACATCCAGAAGAGACAGTTTTAAACCTAGTCTAAAAGTACAACTGCCCAGTTACTTTGTTTCCCACATAAATAGGTATTAAAAGGAAATTGCTGCTAGCTTTATTCTTCAGCCAGTGACCGGTAGTTGTTTACCTTGTGTCACGAGCTGAACTGACCGCCCTAACCTAGTCCCCCCGCTGCTGTGAGCAGGCGTGTGGGGATGAGTTTAATTCTGCCGTCTGGTCTCTCTCATGCAGGCTCCCAGTCACAAGTACAGTGCCCACAGCAGCCACGTCACCAACGTCAGTTTTACTCACAATGACAGTCACCTGATTTCAACTGGTGGGAAAGACATGAGCATCATTCAGTGGAAACTTGTGGAAAAGTTACCTTTGCCTCAAAATGAGACTCTAGCAGAGCCTACACTCACCAGAGCCCCTCCCTCTTCCATCGAGAGTGTGGTGCAGTCTGATACTCCCACCCCGCCTCCTTCCCAGCCCTTAAATGAGACAGCTGAAGAAGAAAGTCGGATAAGCAGTTCTCCCACACTTCTGGAGAACAGCCTGGAACAGACCGTGGAGCCCAGCGAAGACCACAGTGAGGAGCAGAGTGAGGGGGGCAGCGAAGACCTCGGTGAGCCTGTTTATGAAGAGCTAGCCAGTGAGCTAAGCGAGGAGCAGAGCAAAGCCGCTCTTCCTGGGGACGAGCAAGACCCCTCATCCCTGTCCTAACACCAGGACTGCAGTGCGACTCGCTTTTTCCTTCAACCGCGTGTGGTCTTGTGATAGCAGAGTTCAGGTAACAGGCCGAGAAGTGATGAAGAATCACTATTGATGGAGTTTTGGTTTCCACGTAATCTGTTTTCAACAATCTCATCTTCTGTCTCTTAAATGCAGTCAACCTAAAGGTTCGGTTTGACGTGTGTTGAAAATTAACCAAACTTAATAGTAAGAAAAAACTGAAACATTGACTATGTCTCAGAAATTACTGTGTATGTGAGTAGTTATGATGTAAATACTGGAAACAAAAACAGTTGTATAGATTTAAAAATAAACCCCTTGTTATCTGAACAGGTTTTCTTCAGGAACCAGAGGCATCACAAACACTGTTACTCACCTGTTCATCTACTGGCTCAGACTGTGCTACTTTTTTTTTTTTTACTGATGCTGAAAATCAGAAAAACAAAAACCAAAAAAAACTCTTGCTGAGACCCTCCCACCCCAAATATCTAGTGGAAATTTTTTAACGAAAAACTTCAGTATCGCTACGAGCAGTGGTATGGTCTTCCTGAATAATAACACCGTTTTCTTACGCTGCCAGCAGACGTCCAAATGTGCTTGTTAGTCTACTATGTAGGTGCTGCCTTTTCTAAGTCAGAGTGAGGAACAGTCCCTGAATTCCCTGTGTGCAGATCTATTTTATCTTAGAATTAAGAAAGCAGTGGTTTGTTAAAGAGCTTTTAATGTATATTAAACCATTGATTCAGAAATAATGGAATCCGCCAAGGATCCCTTTACCGGCCTAAACATTTTCAAGTGAATGGAAGAGAAAAAAAAACCACATGCCTATAAAACTAAACTTGGCTAATATTAGCTTAGCCTTAATCATCATTTGTTCCCTCAATAACAGAAATATTAATACAGTAAGTTTAAATGATTAAATTGGTGCTTGAAATTCATTGGTTTAGTTGTAATTTTTATACAGATTGAGGGATAAAATAACAAATTACAAATTCTTTTTTACAGAAGTGTGACAGTAGTCACAGTAATTTTTTATAAATTGCATACTTAATAGACTTCCTATATATATAGTGATTTTTCTCTGGTGGAGTTGCTTTAAGCCTTGCAGTTCTGAGTGACTATCCTCTGCTACTGGGGGCAGTGCATGTATTTTTATGCAGTGGATAGTTTGGTCTTTTGTTGTTGTTGTTTTTTAAGTTTTGTCAGACGATTGTTTTTCTTAAGTATGTGTTTCCTATTTTCAAAATAATTACAAATATGCATTTCCTATATATTTGTTTATACTTTGATTATAAAAAGACTTATTTTTTAACTTGCTGCATTGTTTTGATATCTTTTTGTTGTTGTTAGATCATGTTTAGAAACTTCAGATGAGTTCAGAAGTCTTAAGTATGCAAGTGTTTACGTGATTGTGCCATTCCAAAGTGCTTCAGAACTGTCATTCCCTTCTGCTATCTTCTCAGGAGTAATACAAGTCAGGTATTTCATCATCTGGTAACATACAGACTCCAGTGAACGCCCAAGGACACTCACCACATTCGTATTCAGATGCTGTATGTAAGGGTGTGGGTATGTGTGAAGGGGTGAGTGAGTGTAGACACTTACTCTGCGTGTGTCTCTCTATATAAGAAGATACGTGCCACATTGAAAATACTCAGTGTGTATCTCTGTGTATAGATATATGTTGTGTATATCTCTTTCCTTTTGTTTACAACTGTTCAGAAAAAAAAAACCTCAAAGTAGTTCTCTTCAAAAGAAGAGAGACTCCAAGCAACCCATCATTTTTCAGTATGTTTATACATAATTATCAGAGGGCAGCAGCAGTATCAGGCATGTGTTTTTTGCCTATTAGCTGTGGTGATTGAATCATCAGGTCAGCATGTGCTAGACCCTGCAAAATAATAGCAGATGAACAAGTAATTCTAGAAGAAGAAAAAAGCATTTTGTAAAGTACCTGGGGGATACTGCTCTCCATGACAAGCAGGCAGTGTATCTGGGGATATCAGTCACCTTTGGGGTTGCTGTGTACAATGAAATTTATATTCGTGATTATTTGTGATATCTTGGGTGGTAGTTTCAAAAAGACACTACTAATACGCAGAAAGCGTTCCAGCTCTCTATTGCTGGCAACTACTGTTTAACAGTCAATTAAATCTGTGATTATGGTTGGAAGTGGGTGGGATTATGAAATTGTAGATGTTTTTAGAAAAACTTGTGAATGAAAATGAATCCAAGTGTTTTATGTGAAGATGTTGAGCCATTTCTATCATGCATTCCTGTCTTATGACAGAAAAATTTGAAGATTAAATAAAATAATCAAGATGTTTCATTTGTCTCTAAATGTGTCTTGAGTCTTTCTTCCTCTATGCTGCTGGTTTCATCCAGTTATCAGGAGACACGACAGACAGTTCAGAAGGACACGTTTATCAGTTGACCACTGCCGCTGTGGATACAGCCATTCTGGTAGTGACAGACTCCATCTCATAAAGCTAGAGGAAATTACTTCTGATTTATGCTTCCATTTAATAGGCAATAGCTTTGTTTTAATTTATTTCATGTCTGCACTCACTCAGATGTTTACATTGGGTGATCCTAGCTACCTGCCTCCCCGGTGTTCACCTGCGGGAAGCCCTTGAACTCAGCATCCCGCTTTCTCCATCTCCCCTGGGTTGCTTGGTGACACATCCTCTTCACACCACAACCATAAATTAGCTGCTGCACATTTTTCTTTATGAGGAATTAAGTAGTCCATACATTTCTCAGTTTTACAGTCATGGAAATGATGGGGTTTTCATCATCACCTTATTCATCCGTGGTGACTATGAATGTATATTCACAGCCACTCACACACTAACCTGTGAGAGGTGTCCTGGGCCCAGCAATTCCTGTCCGCCAATTCTGAGACAAAATGGCTGGCAGGCAGCAGAACAGACGCGCTAAACAATGTGATTTTTCTGAATAAAAAAGGAGCTCCAAGTCAGGAACCTGTTTATGGGGAAACAGTGGTGAATCAGATCTTGGACATACTGGTGTGGTAGTGTAAATTCTAGAAGGAACTATGTTTCCAGCTTACAGGGGGAACTAAAAGGCAGCTTAGGACAAGGACATGTTTCTAGGACAAAAGAGACAGGCTGAAGAGCAGGTATGCTGGCCGTGAACGGAGCAGAGCTACTGCTCAAGGAGTCTGTGCGGCCAGAGCCCCTGGACGCCCCAGCCTCACACAGCGCACGGGGCAGGCTGGGGTTCAGAACAGGCCCATGTTCACTCACCCAGATGACCTCACGCCAGGACGTCATGCACTGTCACTTCAAAGCTGGAGCCTCTTCCACTTACGCTAGGAGAAAGACATTCTTTAGAAACAGGGAGGAAGAAGGAAAGGATGAGGGTGAAGATTCACAGATTTTGGAAAGGAGACGGGGCAACATCAGAGGCCCTATGTCATCTCAGTCCAGGGGAGGATGCTACACGTTTGTCACCATCACAGAAACAGGCTGTGCTGAAGAAGCTGCCTTCGTCCAGGATGCCCAGGACTGGCATCTCCAAGGACCTTAGAAAAAGTTTCCAGGCATTTTCCTGAAAAGTAGATGCAATCCTTTCTAAAGGGCAACTGCTGCTTTCAGGGACTACAGTCATCTTATACCTTTTCCAGAGGAAATCTGAATTTCTACGCCACCCTCATTAATCGATTTCTACAATAACCTCTGATACAAAAAAGGCAAAGGAACTAAGAGAAATAATCCCAAATGGAAGAAGAAAGTTTGGTTCCTGTAGACATGTCAGTGTGTTTCATTTCTGAATCCGTGGCTGACATCCTCAGGAGACCATAACTTACCAAACTGAACACGTGTGATTTTTAATTTTACCAATCCAGAAATCTGGAAGAAAAAGATACCACTTCTATATCTCAGAGGACAAAAACACAAAAAATGTAGGAACAAAAACCGAGTGCTCATTGATGACGACACATCCACACAGAACTAAATGTTATTGAACCAGAAGAGCTGACACTGTTGCAACATTTTAGAGCTTTCCACCAATTCTTTCAAATATCCTACATTCCGTCACCATTTTACAGATGAGTCAACTTACAGATGAAACTGTCACCCTAATAGGACCCTAATAGTACCAAGTGACTGAACCAAGGTTTGGTTCTCCCTCTTCTCACTCAGGGTTTGTCCTCCTGCCTCCAGAGTCCCTGGGGTAGCTCTGAAGCTGGGCACTGTAGGAGATGCTTACTGCAGAATAGTAATATAGTGATTATTAGTAACAGAATGAAATGGGCTAAGCTTCTGGTAGGAAGGACTTGAGACCACTATATCGAAAAATCACAGAAAATGGTTAGGCTTTGGAACAGTCGACTCGGCTCTGAACAATCACAGATGACAGGGACCCCTCCCTGGCACAAGACCCCTCCTGCCAGCCCTACAAGTGGAGTGGGGGCCAAGCTTCCAGGCCACCCCGCAGCACCTCCCGTCAGCACCTCTCTGCACTTCCCGCCTGCCTTGGCTCCTGAGTCCTCAGTCCCTGAGGTTCCATTTTAAGCCTATTTGTGTGGAGACGCTGCTCCCTTATTTACCAACCTCTGAGCAATTTCTGTTTCACTGAAAAAGCAGCAGAGCAGCTTCTTTCTTCACTGGTCCAGTGCTTCTTCCCTTAATCTCCGGCCCAGGCTATGCCACAGAACCTTGATCCTGCCTCTCCTCTCCCTCCCAATGTAAACACGCAGTCCTGAAGGCAAAGGTCCCTAGAGAGTCACCCAGGTCAGAGGTGAATGTGCGTGACCACCGGTGTGTGCCAGTGGGAGGACGCACGTGCACGTCTGCTAGATCTCACTAAGGGAGCTGGAGGCGAGTGCTAGAAGGGGACTTGGGGAGGAAAAATAACTATAATAAAATGCAAAGGCCCACATGCTGGTCATCTGCTTCATCCTTGATCCTTGATGTTCCCATAGCCACCAAGCCAGAGTGCGCCGTAGGCAAGGTCAAGGGGTA